TAGTTCTCTAAATTAGGGTACCTTATTTTGGGGGTCCTTATAATAAGGATCCTACTATTTAGGGTACCATATTAGGGTCCCCTATTTTCGGAAACCCCCATATAAAACCGGTACAGTCTGGAACCCTTACCTTACAGTCTTACGAGATTCCTGAAGATTTGTTTAGGACCCTGTTAAAATCCCAGCCTTCAGGCTATTGTGGTCAAGGCCTTTGATGACGGCTCGAAGGCTCCTCGGCTATAAACCCTAAACCCTAAACCCTAAACCCTAAACCCTAAACCCTAAACCCTAAACCCTAAACCCTAAACCCTAAACCCTAAACCCTAAACCGGGTCCGGGTTTGGTACGTCAGGCCTAGCAAACCCTACTGTTTGTAGGATCCCTGGAGCTGTCCAGGGGCTTACTAATTAGAATAGGCTTCGGGGGGTACATTACATTATACTTAATACAAGGGCTCCCGGAAAACCCTATTCTAATTATAAAGGCCCCTACAATATGCAAAGATCTGAGGCTATGCTAGTGTAACAAACTTTGATAATCCAGGGTGGATCCACCATGGCGGTCTGAATAATTCGCCCCAAAACCCTATTCTTGAGCGCCGAAGCTTGCTTCCTCATAGACGAAACATGTGTAGTCGTCTACGGCTATGGTTGTGACTGCTACTTTCGGAGCAAACGTAGAAACTACATTTCCGTACCTGTGCATCCTCGTTTGCGTCCTTATCGCCGCCATCATCCAACCTTTGTAGACCAATTTCACAGTCCCCTTTATCATCGACATGATCATTATCGTTACCATTTCTTGGTGCTGCTGATGCTGCTCATAATGAATGATGAATGCTGAAGATGCCCGGCAGTAGGAACACTGTCATCGTCGCGCCCAAGGCAAAACACCCCCCCGTTGCACTTGGAGAGCGCAAAAAGGCAAAACCGTTGAACTCTCACATCCTTCACCTAGACCTAGAAGAGAAGTGAAGATACTGTAGGGGCCTGAATAATTACCTATACTATTGTGGGGGTTCCTTATTATCATTATAGTATAATATACCCCAAAACCTTATTTTCATTATTAAGGCCCCTACATCACCTTTGTAGTAGGCTTGCCATTGCGCCCCTATATGACCTTACCCTCGCATCCCATTATGCAGGTACTGTAGCTGGGCTTGTCAGGTTAGCCCGAAAGTATCTCCAAGCAACGAACAACAAAATAGCTATGATTGGCACCGAAAAACCTTTGTTCGAACCAGGCCCGTCCCTTTGGTCATGCCCTCGTGGCCGGCATCAACCGCGCACCGCTGAAGGTTACCAGGCCGGGAATGTCAAGTTTAGGGCCTAAGCCCTAAACCTCTGCATGAGTCTATGGTCTAGGACTCTCGTGTGCAAGTGTTTCTGAATGATGGTGATGTCAATGATACAGAAACCTCGTTTGCTCCGTCAACTCGTCGCTGGGGGTCTTCAGGTTTGTGGGCCTTCGGCTTCTGGTCAAGCCTTCTTGAGGGTTAGGTTCAGGTTCGCATCATGTGTCTGCTGGCAGTGGCTCCGCACAAGCGAGTGAAGGCGCATGACGCTTAATCAACCAGAGCCCTAGAGACCCTCAGCACCAAACCCTAAAGTCACTGTACCAAGAGCCCGTTAAAGGCCTAAGTACTAACCACTAAGCCACAAGCACAAAAATATTGCAAGAACGCTGACTCACTGAACATTAAAATTTGCCCAATCCGTAGACCCTAATCGGCAAGAGCTCTGCACGCGAGGCGGATGTCCAAGAAGAAGATCACCAAGCGCACAAAGGTCAAGTCCAGCTCCCATTTTTTGGGATGTTGCTGAAAGCATGTGCTTGAATTACTGCCAATACTGGTCCCAACAGTACCTTAATATAATTCTGCCATGATCTACCGCCAAGCCCTTTGACAATTGTGAAAGCACCTACATTTTGCAATCTGGTGTTTGGGTGTTTATCAGGTCTCTACAGTGCTGATTGAGGTTTGTGTAGAGTCGGGCGTTTGGTCTCTAAAAGGTTTGTCTTTCGCTCATTGGCTAAAGTCCGGTCTCTCGTTTCCTTTTGCGAAACCCTAAACCCTACGCTAACCCCTAAACCCCTAAATTCGAGCTCCAAGGCCTTTCGTGAAATATGTGAACTACAACCACATCATGCCGACCCGCTACAATGCCGCTTGGGAAGAAACTTTTTAAGTACTGGCTTGAAATACTAGAGTACGTCTTGGGGAAAATGATCGCGATAAGTATAGGGACTATAATAAGAGGATAGTAGTCCTGCTGTACTTTTGTTTTTTTTTGGGGCCTTGCAAGCGACTTGGAACCCCCAACACGCTTCCTGTGGTAAACCTGGGGAATTCGACCAGGTGCCGGCCGAGTTGTCCCCAGGCACCATCTGCACCGACCAGCAGATGGCCCCTCGGCCTGGGGGGGTCTAGAGCCGGTTTTTGCCTCCCTGCATGTAACCCTAAACCCTATAAACCCTGAACGCCGAACCCTAAACCCTAAACCACAAATCGAGAAGTGCCGAAACCCTAAACCAGTAGTGTTGGCACAGTACAGCTGACCGCGTCTAGGACTCAGGCATGCCAGCATGGCCGTGGTAAGGAGCAAAGTCCGCTCACAAAACTGTCACAAACAGTCTGAACCCTCGATCTGAAGCCAGTCGGACTCAAGGAACTACCATAAGCTGCACCACAGTAGCGATGGGAGTCCAACGAAGCAGAGGCATGACAGAACACTGATCACGGGTGGAACGAAAGCTCATTTGCTAGCGCCGTGATTGAATGACGAGCCGCCGGCTGCATTGTCGGGTAGTGTGGGGTTCAGCCATAAACCCCCATGCGCCGAACCCTAAACCCCTTGCCTCTTTCCCTTAGCTCACAAAAAGAAGCCAAACCCCAACAACCAATCATTTGCAATAGGCCTGAAATTCAAGCCTCGGTCTAGAATACCCTACAGTAGACCCCAAGCCCTACACGCCTTGGAGTAATCCCTCAAAGCAACTCGAAATTGCCGATGAGCCCTTCTGTTAACCTCCTACATATAGTACCCTGAAGGACTTTTTCAAGGAGCCGATATAGTACCGGTCAAGACAACCTATCCTCACAGACTCCGGTATACTGTCACATACTATATTATACTACAGTATACTACAATAGTCTATAACATCCTATTCTACTTACTACGGCCCCCATCGGGTTTATGGCTTAGGTGTTCTATTACAGCTAAGCCAGTCAGAGCTGCGAAACCAACAACAACCCAAAGAACCTATCTTTTCACAAGGTAGCTTATTTTCGGGCTAGGGTAAAATCCCTAACCCGAAGCCCTGCAGTTGCACTGAGGACACGGCCGATGGACGTGTCGAGGCCCGGAAGTTTGCGAAGAGTGCCCTGGCCAAGCTTTTTGTTTTGGGGTCGGGGGGGGGGGAGAGTCCATTCCTTTAAGGGATTCGTCTAGGGGTTCTGTACTAGGGGGGTTTAGGAGTTCAGGGTTTAGGTTTCCGGATTTCGGGGCATGGGTTTCAAGGAACAAGGCCGATGTCAAAACATCAGGGATTTATCATGGTGAAACCAGCAGTCAGAGGCAAGCAAATAGAACCAGGAACATCTAGGAAGAGAACGGAGTTTCACCCAAAGCGTCAAGCTCCGAAAGCCCAAAATCCGAAACCCCGAGCCCTCGTCAACCCTGGGGCCTGAACAACCACCAATCCTAGGGGTCTTAGGGCCTTAGGGTTCTGTAAGGTTTAGGGTTTAGGGTTTAGGGTTTAGGGTTTAGGGCCTGTATTGTAGATATATACTGCTTTATACGGCCCAGGCCTTTTCCAGGAGAAGTTCCAGGCCCCGCCTTTGGACAAGTCCGGCCGCCCTTCCAAGGCAAGGCGTCTCGAAGATTCAGGGCCTGAAAAGGCTCTTACGGGCGTCCTTTAGGTTTTAGAGTTAGGGTGTGGGGTTTATAGGGTTCGGGTTTGGGGGTTTAGGGTTTAGGGCTTGGGGGTTTAGGGTTTAGGGTTTAGGTTATGGGCGTTCTTTTGAGGTTTCTACGGGTTTCAACGGTGTAACGTACGGGGCTGCAGAATTCGCAGCTGTGTTCTTGAGTGTTGCCTACCGGCCCGAATCTCTCTTATAGTATCGCCCATGGTTTCGGACATGTGGGCTTCCAAACTACAGGGCTTGTGCAGTTAGCACCGATGTCAGCACTAGCCTGGCCTACGAGGGTTTCGGAATGTGTGTTTAGGGTTTAGGGTTTAGGGTTTAGGGTTTAGGGTTTAGGGTTTAGGGTTTAGGGTTTAGGGTTGGGTAGGACAGTTTGATGTTCTCAAGAACCCTAAGGCCCCAAAACCCCAAACCACGAGCCCCATAAAGCCTAGAGGATTCCAAGACCTTCGAATTGTGAAAGGCCGCAGTCGATACGGCGCCTCGAAACCATGTTCGGTAAAGCCCCCAAGACCCTAAACCCCAAACCCTAAGCCCCAAAACCCGAAACTCCCAACCCCAACCCCCAAACCCTAACCCTAAACCGGCCTAGACCCTAAGCCCCCTAACCCTGAACCCTAAACCCGCAAGCCCTAACCCTAAACCTCCAACACCCAAACCCCCAAACCCTAAACCCCAAACCCCCAAACCCTAACGCTAAACCCCCAGACCCGAAGCCTGGTAGCTTGTTCAGCCCGCAGGACTCTTCAGGTATACCTTGAGCATGGGTTTCAGCGACTCAGGGTCCTAAATTTCAGACCATAGGACAGCTTAACCTTCTGAAGAGGTGGCCTGTAAACGGAACAATGACTCAGAAGGGGCATCATGTCGTCTCTGAGGACGTGCTCTACATGCGCAAGAAGCTGCGCTTCTAAGCACTCTCGAAACGCCCGAGCTGGCTCAGATGATGAAAAGGATGCCTCTGTTGCGTTTGGAGTTCATAATATAACTGTAAGATTCACGAGTTAGCGCGAACCGACTAGTAGTCGCCACGTTCGCGTTGATGATTATCTTGGCATTGCTTGCCGCTGGTTTTAATGTCGCTGTATAAGCTTTGTGGATCAACAAGAGCCTTTCCCCGCTCGGTCTTACGCTCGACGTTTGAAGTTCACTTCACAGCCAACCAGATCCTGAAAACATATAAGCGGCAGTTAACCGCTCACCTTTCGTCCAAGGCATTCATCGGACGGTTGCAGTGGGTCGTTTCGGGTGTCAAGAAGGGCCATGCTGCGGGAAGCTTACAACCCCTCGCGGCCTGAAGCCCTAAACCCCAGCCCGAAATCCAAAACCCTATAAATCCCAAACCCCAAACCCTCGCCCTACACCCCAAACCCCAAGCCCTATCCTGAAGCCTTTAGTTCTAAAGCTGAGGACTGAACTCCAGCCTGCACCACATCTTGAGACTGCTGAACTTAGTGGAATATAATGGAATAGAATATACTATATTCTACCACAATACAATATACCTTAACAAGCTAGGCCACCTCCGAACCCACATGGTTCAGAGTTTCGGGCTTTGGGTTTAAGGTTGTGGGTTTAGGGTAAGAGTTTAAGGTGTTGGGTTCCAGCAGTGCTGCTCTTTCTTTTGGCCAGCACAGAGAGCTTGAAGTACCGTTGGCGCCATCCGCAGAGCCATTTTTAAAGAGGCACGTTCCGAAGGCCCTGCCCTGTTCCATATCCGGGATCCGAAGTCGCAATGCTAATCTACGGGCCGGATTAAATCTGTAATCGTATCTTCAGGGTTCCTTGGTATAAATTTAACAAAATCTACTTATGCTGATTGTGAAGGCCCCTGTATTAATTAATCTAGCGGATCCCTCAGAAGTTGATGTTCTTGAAAGTTAAAATAAGTTTGAACTCGATTCCTCGTAACCTCAACTGCAGGCTGTGTGATTCTAGAACACCGGCTTTGCATGGTAAGATTCTTCAACCTATGTACTCAATCCGAGAGGTGTAGCTGTTAGCCCCTGAACACCCATAGGACACACAGCTGTAGATTTCGCTTTCTTTTGTGCCTATATTCGCAGGGTTTCAAACTAAGTAAGTACAGTGCCTAAGGCTCCATGTGCCCATGCAGTACCTACTTAGGCCTCGAAGTACCTAGACAAGCACTCCATTACGGCCTATAAGTCTTTTCAAATTTCGGTACATGGGGCCCAAAACCCTATACCCTGAACCCTAAGCCCTAAACCCTGAACCCAGGGAGTGCCTGTTTTGAGAAGGGCTAGGGTGGCCGCCCGCTGAGCCGGGGATGTGTCATCGATGCTGGCCCAGCCCAGGGCACTGACGCTCGGCCGCCTGGCTGCAGTCAGAGGCCGTTTCTTTAGGTTGGATGCTTGCTTTAGGGCTTAAAGGGTCTAGAGTTAAGGGTTGGCAGCCTAAAATGGCTCCGCGCCCGAGGGTGTCCTGGTCGGTCTAAGGATTTCTCAATAGTATTTCAGGGCCATTTCCTGTCGCAGCCGGCCTGGTTACACACACATGCATGCGTACGTGCAGACACACATCCAGACATGCATACATAATAACAGCGTTTTTTCTTAACATGCCTCACCACCAAATTCACATAAGCAGTCAGCAGCCTGTGGGAACATGCAAGCGTGCACAAATAGAACCAACTAGTCTCACGCATGCATCTGCGGCGACTCCTGCAGGCCGTACACTACATGGTCTACCCTGGAATCCCAGTCGTTTCTGTATGCGGCTCCTATATCACCCATACCAAGGCTATGTAAGTACACAGTTCAGACAGTAACATTTCTTTGGTATAGCAGCCAGTAACATACCTCCACATCGCCGTAAAGCCCTCCAACCGAAAAACCCAGAGGCCTCGAACATCCCGTGGTCCCGAATGCCCCAGAAAAGCCCCGAAAGCTTATCGCAGGCTTAACTGCCGCACCTCGCAGTGCCACCAGCCTTTCTTGCAGACGGCCCATGAAGGCCCCTATAGACGGTTGAACACGAACTTTGGATTTATAACGGGGTATATTGGGCTTTGCATGTTTTACGAATAAGGTTTTGTAGGAGGTTTTATCTATATTCTTACATGGGTTCCATAAGGATTTTCTGGGTTTCGGTTCGTAGGAACTCAGTGACTCCACAATCGCTGAACCAGGTATCCACAAGTTGCAGGAGCACCCTCGTATGTTCACGGGCTGCTCCTTGACGACGGGATTTCGGAGGTTCTCAAGCCCAAACCGTACGCGACGTTTTCCATCCCGCGTGTCCGAAATAACGAACCCCAGACCGCAACCCTATGTAATGTAACCGACACCAAACGCTATAAACCCTGTAATGTGCAGGATCCTCAACCAAAGACTTCCCGGAGATGGGCCCCCGGCTCTTCCAGGGACATATCGGGTTCACTGATTCGGAGTTGTGTGGTTTGGGCTTTAGGTCCTCAGGTTCAAGGTTTAGGGTTTAGGGTTTAGGGTTTAGGGATTTAGGGTTTAGGGTTTAGGACTTCACTTTTAGGATTCAGGGTTAGAGTTTAGGACTTTCGGGCTGGGGTTTTGGGTTTCTTCTAAACCCTAAACCCTAAACCCTAAACCCTAAACCCCCTAAACCCTAAACCCTAAACCCTAAACCGTCAGGCATTGCTCGTGAGGCCTGGGGTTGCTGGGTTTCGGAAATCTCGGCTTTTGAGTTTCCAACTCGCAGCTTAAGGAGATACCTGGACCCCAAAGAACCTACCTGTTAGGGTTCCTTATTGTGATTTCTTTATATAAGTCCTTAGAAAGGTAGGTTATTTGGGATTAAGATAACTCTAGAGAAAAAACGAAGTATGGACTCTACGTTTGAACCTCAACCCGAGCCTTCAAACCCCTCAAATCCCAAAGCCCTTGAACCCTCTACCGGAGGACCGGATGTCGAATGGCCCCGACACAAACAAGCACCGTCATAGCGAAATCCCAACCTTGAACGTGCGATCCCACAAGCATTACAGTAATTAGGTTTAGGGTTTAGGGTTTTGGCTGTGCTGCTTCCAAGCTGATTGGCAGAGTCTGGGTTCAAAAAGGTTTTTGGCTATGAAGCACTTGTAAGCCTTACGACAAACCGTCTACAAGCCCGGCAAAGCTTTACGAAAGTCCTATACACGCCTTATGAAACCCGTATGCACCCTGCACATGAACTCTAAATCCCGAACCCTACGCCCTAAGCCCTCAACCCTAAACCCTAAACCCAAAACCCCTAAACCCTGTACACAAATAAATCCCTAAACCCCGAAACCCGAAACCCTAAACCCCTAAACCCTAAATCTAAACCGGTAAACCCTAACCCCTAACCTTGGGAAGAAGGCTCGCAGTCCGGGCCTGTTGATGCGGCCGGCACAACTGTCGGACTTCTCGGAGCCTTGGGCATTCGGTGGCTTGTAAGGCCCCTTTAAAGAATTCTATCAAGGATTCCTTCTACGAATTCCAAGGGTTTAGGGGTTTTAGGGGTTTAGGGTTTAGGGGTCCAGAGTTTAGGGTCCTGGGCTTTCGGTTCGGGTTTGCTGCACTCACGGTTCTACCATGGCTCTCCTTTCGTGGAACGAGGGATTGTGGGCTTAACCTAGGAGCCTAAAAAAAATTACAGTAAGGTTTTGGGGTATACTATACTTTAATAGTTAAGCGAACCCCAAAAATAATATTGGTAATCATCTCGCCCCCTACGTACATTTAGGTGTTTCAAGGGTTCTATACGAGTTTTGAAAAAGCGACTTCGGGTTCGATAGGGTTGCACAGGTTGAAAAGGTCTTGTGTTCCAGAATATAAGGGGTACAGGTTTAGGTTTAGGTTTCTGTTTAAACAATTGGCACTATGTCGTGCTGTGTAGCACAGGTAGTATTTTGGGCTCGGTTCCCTGGTATGTTCCGTTGCTGTACGAGATGTTCCAGACTGAAACCGGCATGCGGCTACACAAAATGCCATGGCAAGATGCGAAGAGTGAGCCCTAAACCCTAAACCTTTACTAATCCTTTCAATGATGTCTTACAGTGCAGGGCTCAGGGGCTCGAGTTTCGGGAGCTCAGTAGATTTGCCCGGTATCAGCTGGGCTTTTTCCCTTCCACATCGTTCAAGGGGTATCGTCTCTAAACCCCTCTTAACATGGTAAAAACCCTCGATACCCTATGAAACCAATATAAGGCTTCATCAGGCCCATATGCAACCCATATGTACCCAAAGCCCGAAACCGCCTAAACCCATATACAGACTTATACAACCCATCTGAGATGGTTTCGGTTGTCAGGGCTTCAGAAACTTGCGGTCGGAAAAGGGCAGGCTCCGATTGGTCTTAGAAGTTCGTTTTTTGGGGCTTAGGGTTTGGGGGTAGGGTTCAGGGCGGGCATGTACAAGTCCGTGCAAAAAGGGAGGGCCGAAGATATCACGGCTCGGCAACCCCAACACTCCCCAAGTATACAAGAAGAATTTACTTTGGGCAGTTTGGGAGTCTTGGGGCTATGTTGCAGGACTTACAGAGGTTGGGAGTTCGTGTTGTAGGAGAAGCCCTATAACCCTAGACCGGAATAGGGCTTCATGCAAGGAGGGGGATGCATAGACAGAGATGTCTCCTGCAACTATCAATGCTCCAAAGCGAGACCAGCTTTCGACTCGTGCCACTTAGGCGTAGCTCTCTTTCTTTCTTGCCAAGCACATCTTACTCGTCGATCCCACCATGGTCCGTTCAGCCTTGGTGGCTGTGCTGATGCTCGTGCTTCCAGCAACGGCACACCGGAATAACGATGACATCTTTGCCATTGAGGCTGATGATTCAGAAGCCCGCGATCTACAGTGGGAGCTTGAGAACTGGCTTGGTGATGGCTCGGGAGGCTTGGGGCTGAGCCATTCGGATGCTAGGTGGTGGGCAACGAAGGAGTGGTGGTACATGGAGACGTGTGGCGCTTCAATTTGGTATCTCAAGCAACTCTACTCTCTGCTCACTCACCGCTTCACTATCCCCTACTCCCAGCGCGAAGCCCTCGAGTTGATGTTTGCCTATGCCAAGAAGCAGCTTGACCCAGACCAGCTCTTCGCCATGTACCACGTTCTCTCGGGCAGCCACCTCGGCCGGGAGAAGGCCCGTGCGCGAGCTGCAGAGCTTCTAGAGAAGGATGCGTCCCCAACCGAGCTCAGCAATCTCTACAGGGTCATGGCCATGTGGCTTCCGGACAGGGAGGCTCAAGAGACCGCAATGGAGGTGGCTGCTGCCGGCTGTGAGGCTGAGAAGTTCGCGAGTTTTTACCAGCACTTTCATGACAAGAACAGGGCCATCTCTGAGGCAATCTCGGCCTCCTTCGACAGGCAAGCCTACCGCTATGCAGGAGATGGTAAATACTACACGGCCTCCGAGTTCAAGGACTACTTTGGGAGCAACTGGATGGCAAAGTGGATGGCAAGCCCAGCGGCACAGAAGGTGGCGAGGGATGGCAAGGCATATTCCGCGTCTCAGTTTCATGATTACTTCAAGGGAGGTTGGTTGTCCTACTGGCATGAAGCAAAGTGGGCAACACAAAGGCGCGTTGCGGAGGACGGAAAGATCTACACCATGGCCGAGTATGTGAACTACTTCGGATCTCAGTGGCAGCAGAAGTGGGCCAAAGCACCAGTGGCACTTTGCCAAGAGTGCACAGCAGCCAGCCACGCCTGAGCAAGCGATGCTGAGATTACAAGCGCCGGTGCAGAATCAAGCAAAAAGCCTCGTGAGCCTTGCCTGCTGGTGGGACTGTGAGAGTCGAAACCATGCGGCTGCGGCAGTGGTTGCAGTCGGGTGAACTCTGCGGTGAGACTGAAATCCGTGAGGCGTGACATGGATATCGACGCATCCATGCCAAGCAGGTAAAGCTCGCACATTGAAAATCAAGACCACTTGTATCACAACCACTCAACCGCAACATCCCTAAAGTCAGCCTAAACCCTAAACCCTAAACCCTAAACCCAGGGCCCTGAGCTCTGAAGGCCCCAAAGCACTAAACCAGAAGTTCAATTGCCGAGACCCAAACCCGAACCCGACGGAGCGTTTAGAGGGCTTTAGCGTTTTGAGGGCGTTAATTTTACCTGGGAGCTAGGATTAGGGGGACCCTTGGGGATATAGACCCTCTCAATAAGGTCCCTTTTAAGAGAGCCAAAAGTAGGGTTCAGAAGGGGTACCCTTTAAGGGGTACCCTTATCATACTAAAAGGACCTACAAAGTCATACCCCACCATTGTTGTAGGGTACCTTTGGTTTTGTGGTTAGGATCTGCAGCATACAAAAAGTACCCGGTACCCTGAAATAGTGGTCGGGTGGGATCCTCCAGGTATGGTTAAAGTCCTGTTAAGGAGTGCGGCTTAGGGTCCAGGCTTGTGTGGCTTGCTTCATTGCGCCTCAGTCACATCATAAGCAGCAGAATAGGGCGCCAATCCCGGAATCCCATGGATTCCAGGCCGGCGCACGACTTGAATAACCCCCAACAAAAACCCGGCGAACTGGAACAACCGCCTTTGCCAAAACGCTATAGAAACCAAGGAAAAGTTGCTAGCGGCAAGTGCTCCTGCGGCCGCAATCAGAACTCGGAGATCAACGCTCCAAGTTGTGGGCTGCGGTTTCAGTTTGCCGTGCGGGGTCTTGTTTAAACACGCTCCGGCTTCAGTTTCGGATGCAGGTTTTGGGTTCAGGGTCGGGCTTGCATTGGTTGCTTCGCCGGCTTGGGTGGATTCTCGAAATTAGTTTGCCAACCCTGAAATTTGAAAACCAAACCTTTGCATGCCCCCCCCCCCCCTCCCCAGCCCTAAAGCAAAACCTCTAAACAGCAAGATCCCAAAGCTTTCCCCCAAAACCCGTAGACCCTAAACCCTTTTTTTAACCGTATAAGCTCCAAACCCCTAAACCCAGGTTTGCACGCTTCTCTGGAACCTTGCCATCTTCACCCTTGCCTTGCTGGTGGAAATCAATCGACCCCTGGCGGGGAAGACCGGTTCGGGTGAAGCAGTGCCCGAAACCCTAAACCCAATGCCGCAAAGGCACAAAGCCCTACAAGCCCTAAAGACTAAAGCCCGAAGCACTGAAACCCTAAAGCCGTACTGGATGTGGTCGGGGCTTCAGGATTGTCGGTTTCAGACAGTGTGATTGAAGGTAAATTGATCTTAATGCCACCGTTTGCCCTTGAGTAGTGGTCATATATGTAGGAGCTCGATTGATTGGCAATGCTGTTCCCTGGGTTCTTTATGAAGTATATAGTTGAATATACTCCCAAAGTCATACTCCAGTTATGAAGGTCCAGAGATTACCGGTGCCGGGGGGGCCTGCAGTGATCAATGCGAACTTCTGGCTTAATCCCTCGACAGAAGGCACCGGTGTTCGATTTTTGGAGAAGGTTCATGCTTCCCCTTCTGGTATAGGGTTTAGGCGTGCTTTTTGGTTTGGGGGTCTGCATGGCAAGCTTACGCTTCAGGATGCAGAGCCTCAAGGGTGAGATCTTAGATTCTGCCTATATAGCCCGGATCCCAACAGAACTAGTGGGTGGTGACCTTGGTCTCAAACAGCTAAACAATCATAAAGCTAAGTCCTTGCTGACTAGGTAAGGAAGCGTAGCATGCACCCTAAACCCTAAACCGCCAGCCACCCAAATAAGACCCGAAATTTGAAACCTCACCCAATGCCTAAACTCCACCTCCCCACAACGATCACGTATCTCACATAGGTGTAGCAGTATCCGAATGAGTGCCGAAACCACAGTCAACGGTGTCTTTAAGCATCAGTGGGACTTGAAGTCTAAACCCATACAGACCAGTTTAGAGTGCCTGACACAGAGAATGTTTTGCAAGTAGCTCCCGAGGCAATTCCTCAAACAACAACTCTAAACCCTCGAGCACAGCCTAAAAAACACGCAGCCAAAACAACAGCTACCCAAACCCGCAGCTGAAATCAAGATCTTATGGGCTCTTTCTTTCCTAAACCCAACCCCAGAAATCAACGCCGGCTAAACCCTTAAACCCGGAGCGACCGAAACGCCGAAGCCATCCCTAAGGGCTAAGCAACCCTAAACCCGAAGCCCCGATAGAGCCTTCATATAGGCGCCTTAGTTATGTAGAATAGGGTATTTTGGGGTATATAGTATATATAATTATAATATAGAGCCCTCCGAAACCCTATTCTAAGTATGTGTAAATATATTACAGAACCCTCAAAACCCTATTCTAATTATTAAGGCCCCTACATTCAGTTAGCAATGACCATTTCCATTTTCTAACCATGCCCACCCCCCTAGGCCACCTGAAGACCCAAAACCATAACAACCTATACCTCAACTACCAAAAAGACCTATATGATGGAACCATTAGAAGAACCATACACC